AGGATGCCAAATCAATAACGAAAAATCACCAGAATAAATCAAACACTCATGATAGTATTGAATGCAAACTAAGCAATCATAACATATCGCTCGCGATGACTGATATTTTTGATAAAAATACAGATAGTACCACCAACGATCAACATGAATCTCTGTATAGGCCGTACATCACTTAAACGTATTATTTTATAACTGTAGCTACAGAAACATAAATATTGCAACGATTTTTTATGATCCCTTTGTGAAATGCTTTGCAACTTTGTGTTACTTTGTTATCAAATTTCAATATCAATAAGTCTAAACGATAGAGCATTAACTTATTATTAAATTATTATAAACTTTTCAAATTTTTGATAATTTTAAGTAAAAATTTTGTAGCGAAATTATTACCAAGATTTGGTTCATAATTAAACTAAGAACTTATGAAACAATCTTACGCGATCGACTCTAATGAATAACTATGAATACTTGTACATAAGCTCTTATGTTAGATCATATAAAAAAAAATTAAAATTTTTTTGATTCGGTGGTCTAACTTTTTTTTTTAAATTTAGAAGTCAAACAAACTTTTTCTAGTATAAATGGCTAGGAAAACAACTATTGTATTTTGCATTTTTGAAGGACTAAAAAGCGTTGCAATAAATTTCAAAAATGTAAACTTTAATAACTTTTTATGTAAATATGAACATATGACAACGATTTCATCTTTAATAAAAGATGTAAGCAATAAAATTCTTTTATGGAAATCATTTTTTACGAAGGATAATGTTATTATTCGGTTATGAAACATTAAATATGAGCATGATATCAGAATGAAAGTTTCTATAAAGTTATAGAAATCAAATATGTCGATTCACGCAAGCTCGTTTTTTACTACAATAAAACAGCCGAGACGCAACCATAGATCGAGGTCTGCACACGATAAATATGTGTATGTATGGGATGGGAGACACAAATCTCGCCGCACAATAATACCTCCATCTTCGAGGAATCTGGATCGTGTGACACACATCACAGATACTGAAACGTCGCACTTGCGAGCACTCTTACCGAGGTTTTTCTCGGATCCAGCGTTAACCCAACCGATTCTGATGTTGCCGAGCTTTAGCAACTCGTATGCAAAATGGTCGGATAAAACGACTACAGCTGTTTGTGTCCCTCGCTCGGCATCTTCCACCGCCAGAGGACACGCTGGGCACAAGTCACTCATATCGTTTTTGGTCCGACACAGGTGTTACATCCAGTGGTCGGGATTTAACAATAAACTATTTATTTCTTAGACTTGTTGCCGAGGTGGAGTGATAATAAAGGAAGACTTAATTATTTTGGTTGAAGTTTGTATATTATTTAGGTAGTGAGATGGTTTACAATAATATTAATTTGATCATTAACAAGCAGCATAGTTCGCTACAGATCACACACGCATACTCATACTCATACTGTTTGCGTTATAGTTGCTTGGAGTCGTTGGCTGCCTGCGATGTCTTTGCCTGGTGAGGTCTTTGGCTGCCTACGATACTCCTTGGCTGGTTGAAGTCTGGATGATGGCTGGATCGCGCAGATGCACTTGCTCGTGCTGTTACAATATTTTTATTCGCACGTCACTCCCGTTGAATGCAACAATATTTTATATATCATTGCTTATATACACCTAAATTTGCCCCCGCCTTAGCAGTTGCAGTGTATGTAGTCGGCTCGATATGTGTCAATAATTCACACATATCTTGCATGCGCGTGTACATTACAAAATCCCGGGTCTTCCCGAAATCGGTGGAGTCGCTGTCACCGCAGTTTTATAGTTTTTCTCCGATATTTATTCATCTCGTGGCAGCGAGTGTACATTTCTTTGTCGATCGAATTGTATTTTCGCAAGAGTTCTTGCAAGCGTTTAATACAGAGGCCTAAATCGGTGATGGTTTTAGGCCGCTCAATTCGGATTTGTTCACTCCGGCTGCGAGTGTCCGAAATGATGTTACTTTTAAGGGGGGGTAGGGTCTTGACTAAATTTAAAAAAAAAAAAAATTTTTTTTTTTTTTTTTGAACATATAGTAAATCGAATTGATCTATAAATCATACACATTGTGACGGAGCACAAGCCGTCAGTAAGCGAGTCGAGCCCTCGCAGAAAATTCGTCGCGCCGAGACTGCCGCACGCGCGTATGTATGAGTGAGTGCGTGTGTGTCTCCCTTCTCTNTCAGGATAGGGCCGGGCCGGTAAATACGCCACGCACTACGCCCGCGTCAATAGAAAATACAGGTAGCACGCGTACGGATGGACGACAAACGTATCAAAGACCAAACGCGACTCAAAATCGAGCTTCATCACCATACCCACAAGGGCGAAACTATTCGTACTCTCGTGACGAAAACAACACGTCGCAACGGGATAGATCACCGAGCATACCGCGAGGGGACAAGTCATACAGAAGTCCAAGCCCGGCGGGAAACTAGATAGCGTTGCATCAGTGGAGATCGGTAGAAACGAGGGAGACATTGATGCAACGCGTACGAGGAAGAAAGGCGACCGATCGTTATGCGTGATTTTTGAGGACCCCCGGGAATATCTGTTATCTGAGAAAGATAGATCCGAGTTACAGTTGCGCGCCGAGTGCCCTCGAATAATGGCAAAAATTGAGAGCGTACCAATAAATGCGTTGATCGACACTGGCTCGAAGGTCACGGGCATTAGTGAGGAATTTTACAGAATGCATGCCGAGGCATTCAAACATAATGCTAAGCTTCCTCTTACCGGCGTATACATGCGCGGATTCACTGGTGAAAAATCACAAAGAGTGAAGATGCAACTTCGAGCACAGATCCGCCTCGGTACGCAGGAAATTACAATAAATTTTTTTGTAATTCCAAATCTCATTAGCCAAGGCATCCTGGGAATCGATTACTTGATCGAGATGAGAGCATTTATCGACCTATTCGAAATGTGCGTAAATTTTCGTATTGACAGTAGCGACAATTTTGTCCCGTTCATACTTGAAAAGAGAACTCATCCGCCGATCGTGATTGTTGGACAGATACTCGATGACGACGCGACCGACTTTATAGAGCGGACACGCGAGTTCGCGACAGATATTGCGAGCGTGGAGCTGACCGGGCAGATCAACCGAGTACCACTTATTCCCGATGAGGCGCAGTTTCGCGAAAAAGTTGCAGCAATTCATAATATTTCGAATGAGCAACGCGAAAGGATCGCGGCGATGTTACATAGACATCGAGCCTGCTTCAGGGAAGCACCGGGACGATTTAAGTCCTTTTCATACAAGTTGAGAGTGCATGACATGTCCCCGTACCTGATCAAGTCATACCCGGTCCCGATCGCCCATCGCGCGGCAGTGGCAGAAGAAATCGCGCGAATGTTACGCTACGACATAATAGAAAGATCGCACTCGCAATACGTAAATCCCATCGTGGCCGTTATTAAAAAGAATAATACCGTGCGGTTATGTTTAGACGCAAGAGAGCTAAACAAAAGACTCGATAACGACCATGACGGCCCCGAAGAGATAGAGCAGGTGCTAAAGAAATGCGAAAAAATAGGAATCATGAGCTCCGTCGACTTACGAGCCTCGTTTTGGCAGATTCCCCTACACAACAGCTCCCGTAAATTCACCGCTTTTATGCACGCAGGTAGAACGTATCAGTTCAAAGTGGTACCATTCGGGTTAAAAATCGCGTCGGCCGCGTTAGCCCGGGCAGCCGAACCGATCCTTCGAGACATGGACGATTTCGTGTTCGATTATGTTGATGATTGGCTTGTAGTCTCACGGGACGTGGATGAGCATATACGACACCTTGAGCGGCTTTTCGAGACGATGGAACGCGAGAACATTACGGCCAACTTTGATAAGCTGGAGCTTTTTCGAGACGAGATAAAATACGTTGGCCACATCATTACCACTGACGGCATATACCCCGACCCAGAAAAGATCGATTTGATTCGGCGTTTCCCAGCACCAAAAAACATAAAACAGGTGCAGGGTTTTTTGGGCTTGATTAACTTTCTGTCGTGTTATACAGATCGGATTGCGTTCGTGACTCGGCCGTTGTTGGAATTAACAAAAAAAGGCAATAAATGGCGTTGGAGTGCGACGGAGGAGAACGCGTTTGAACACGTAAAAAACTTATTCTGCAAGCACGCTTTTCTGCATCACCCGCTCCGGCACAGGTCGTATGTTTTGATGACCGATGCTAGTACGGCTGGCCTAGGCGCGGCTCTTTGCCAATATGACGATGAAAAGAAAGTCCGCATAGTGAGTTTGGCGAGTCGAACGCTAAGAGGCGCAGAACAAAATTACTTTACAACTGAGTTAGAACTGTTAGCCATTGTGTGGGCATTACAAAAATTTCGAACGTTTATAGTAGGAGCTAAGGTGGAGGTTCAATCAGACCACAGAGCGTTGTCTTTTCTTTTGAGTTGCCGTTTCCTGAATAGCCGTTTAACGCGATGGATGTTGGCGATACAGGATTATGACCTGCACATGACATATATACGAGGTAAGGACAACGGCTTGGCGGACGCGTTGAGTCGGTTACCAGGACATCAAACCGATGGCGAACAGGAATTTAGTATAGCAGCGATTGCGATTCGATCACCGAACCATAAAGTAGTCGACAGACTGAAGAATATAATATCGGAACAAAAGAAAGATGCAAAGTGCGACCTCATAGCTGAAAAGTTAAAGAACGGACACGAGATAAGCGATTATGCGCTACACGAAGGAATCCTAGTAAAAGGAAAACTAAATGCACAAAAGATGGTACTACCGAGAACGTTAGCGTACGACGTAATGCTGGAGATCCATGAGTTTTATGCGCACGTGGGAGGTAAAAAAGTGCTACAAACATTCCGAGAATCTTTTTACGCGGCGAAAGCTAGACATATCGCGACAGGCATTACCCGTGCGTGCGACTCATGTCAGCGTAGTAAGACGTATATGCAAGGAAATTTCGTCGGCGTCGGAGTTATAATCCCACAAGGACCTCGTGATTTGCTGTCCATTGATTTCATGGGTCCGTACCCGATGAGCGTGAGCGGAGCTCGATATATACTCGCGTGTGTCGATGCGTTCTCCAAATTTGTGCAACTCTACCCGATCCGCAGAGCAGACGCGCCGACCACTATACGGCGAATTTTTAACGATTTTCTACCTAAATACGGGCCAGTGAAGCGCATCCAAACCGACCATGGTACGCAATTCACGTCCGTACTATGGAAAAGAGCATTACGGGACGCGGGTATCACGCACGTATTATCATCGATACGACATCCTCAGGGCAACATCGTTGAGCGCGTCAACAAGGAAATAGGCCGGATGCTTCGTACGTTGATAGGTAAAAGCCACAAGGCATGGGCAGCCTTGTTGCCACGAATACAAGATTGTCTGAACGAAATCTACCACGAGAGTACCGAGTATACGCCGATGGAGATACATTTAGGCAAGCGGCCGACGCGATTCTGGGAGAAATATATCAATTTGCCAAGGGGCAGCGACGGGAAATTTGAGAAAAGTGACCTCATGCTCGTGGCAAATCGATTAAGAAATAAAAGAGAGAAATATGCGTTAAAAGAAAATGCGCGACATAAAACTATTAGATATAAGATCAATGACCGCGTTTTGGTGCGAAACGAAAAACTGTCAAATGCAAACACACACGTAGTTTCGAAATTCCTAGCGTTGTACGAGGGACCATATACCATCATAGAGATATATGGTGGTGTGACGTTCGAGCTATTGAACGAAAAAACGGGAAAAGTGCGTGGGAAATTTCATGCATCGAATATCCGACCTTACTTTCAGACAGCCAAGCAAATCGCAGCTGCGACGACTCCGCAAGAAGGAGACGAAGAACCGACACCGCATAAGGAAGAAGGATCGAATCAAACTCCTCAAACAGCTCTACCATGGACAGATAAGCCACACCGGGCCAGTCGCCCGAGCACGACAGGCGTTTGAAAAAGAGCAGTGCCACCAACGGAAAGAGTCCCAGGGACACATTGAGACAAGTCAAGCGGTGACGGAAGCCCAAATACGAGCCCGCCGACGTGTAAGAGCTACCGAAAAAGAGCATATGCAAGAACAAGCTCAAAATCGAAAGCTCAAACAAGATTACACGAACCAGTGGATAGCCCGTACCTTCGGTACCCTGGCCATCAAACTTCCAGACGAAGACATAAAACGGCCGACATTTCCAATGTGCAGAATCCCAGCAGACGACGTACTACAAATCCACGTTCAAAAATGGGACCAACCGAATTAAGAAGAAAGGGAAAAGAGTATATCTTTAAATTGTTCTTTTTCAATAACACATTTATTAACATTTTCGTTTGTTTTCACATACTACCCCATTGAACAAAGCGACCAAACACACACGTCGGTTTTGAAAAGTTTGAATGAACATGTGTTCAATTTATTTTGTCAATATGCTTTGGGAACTAAGATTTGTCAAGCAAATTCACGCTCCGTTGTCTGAAGTACCGTCCGTGAATTTTGGGGGGGCCTATGCGACGATCATAATTTCGCGCTGAACCCCGAAATTAAAAATCTGCGCACCTCGCGACGCGAAGCACATTGTTTTCATTTTGAAAACAATGTGCGCGAAGATAAATCAGTGCTGCGCGCCGCGTAAGGACGCCGACTCGCACGTGAGATAAGACTCGCGTGCGAGTCAGTTTAAGTCCAGCATCCAATAAGTATAGATGGACCAGAGCTCACGAGCTACTTCGGCTCCACAGTAAGTACCCGCAAATTCCACGACGAGACGAGGCAGGCCTAAGTCCACCCTGGAGCCGTCCGACCCAACGTGTGTTGGATGGTGCTGTGCCAGTGCGTCGGGAAATTGCGAGTCATTTATAGCGCTCGGTAATTCTAAATTGCGTGTGTGTTTTGCTATCGCGAGTCGAGTCATCTCCCCCACAAGTCGAGCGATTTATTAATCGACACGCGTGTGCGTTGCTCTTTGCTTGTTTGTTGCAGGTCGCTGTTAAACAGACACCGCCCAAGAGAACTCTCTCTCTTTATGTTTTTTTTTATCCTCTTTATTTTTGTCGCTATATTGAACAATTTAAATAATTCAATAAATCAATAATTTAAATTTCATGAGAATACTTGTCAATAATTTATTTATCCCGACATCATTTCAGAGTCTACGAAAATAAAATAAGAACTTTACACATGTCTCTTATCGACTTGTCAAGCGAAATAAGCTCTTGAGAAACTTCAATCATCGCGAGATATTCAGCTTGACAGGTCGAAAGAGTTATGAGTGTTTGTTTGTGACTTCTCCAGGCTATTGGGTCTCCAAACAATTTAACTACATACCCACTAGTGGACGTCGAGTCAAGATGGTCTCGAAAGCTTGAGTCAGTGTGACTCGTGAGGTCATTTTCGATGCCTCTGTACATCAATCCTACCTGTATCGTACCTTGTAAGTACCGGAAAATCGGCTTTACCTCTTTCCAATCATCTTCGCTGGGTGAGACTTGCTTTCTCGACCGATAGTTCACAGCATATGCTATGTCAGGCCTCGTCACCGTAGCTAGGTACATCAAACTACCTATTGCTTCTCTATAAGGGATTCTCTCAATACTCGTTTTTGTTGGCTCTACTCGTTTTAACTCAATTTGTGATGCCTTGAATTTTAATTCTCTCGTTTTTACCTGTCGCGTTACCATCGGTGTGTTTTGAGCTTTGCTCTCGTCCATTCTGAACCTTTCGAGAACTTTATTTGTATATTCTACCTGAGTTAATTTCATGACTTTGTTTTCTCGATCTCTAGTTATCTCCATACCCAAGTATCTCGATGGCTCTCCTAGGTCCTTCATCTCAAAAGTGTTGCACAATGTATCTTTTATTTCTTGTAGTTTTTGCTTGCAGTTACTGGCCAAGATTATATCGTCAACGTATAATATCAGTAATGCAACTTTGCCTTCTTTCCTCCACGTGAACAAGCATGGCTCGTGAAAGTCCTTTTCCAGGCCTAATTTCTCGACTTCAGCAGTGAATCTCTGATTCCAAATCTTTGGGCTTGTCTTGAGTCCATAGATAGTTCTTTGTAACTTACAGACCTTCGACCGATTGTTTCCCTCTATCTCTAGCCCATCAGGAATCTCCATGTAAATCTCATCTTCTAGATTTCCATTGAGGAATGCAGTTTTTACATCGAGTTGTACTGCGTCTAGATCGAGTTTATTGATTACTGCTAGAGCTGTTCTTATTGTTGACAGACGTGATACTGGAGCATACGTCTCTTTCAACTCGTAACTGTTCTTGTCCTTGAAACCTCGAATGACTAGCCTCGCTTTGAATTTCTCTATGCCTTTTTCATCAATCTTCTTCTTGAACACCCACTTTGAGTCGATCAAATTTAATTTCTGTCCATTCAAATTTCTAGCTGGCTTATCGATTATCGTCCAAACCTTATTATCAGTCATCGACTTTAATTCTTCTCGTATGGCTGTCATCCATTTCTCTCGTTCTTCGGATTGTATCGCTTCTCTATAACTCGCTGGGTCTTGATTTGTTTTAGCAAGATTCGCATGTACTTCTATGTCATCGATCTTCAATTCAGGTATCTTGGCTCTGTAAACAAAGTTTGGATCCATCAGCTTAGCTTTCTTGACTCTTCGCTCTGGCATGACTCGAGGTGCTATTTCCTCTTTTCTTTTCTTAGTCACTACTTTATCTGCAGGTGGCTGGCTCACATCCATGCTCAAAGGCTCTATGTGTTTCTCAATATCTCGATTTTCTTTTTCCTTTTCATCGTTTACCTCGAATGTTACTGTTTTTGGCTCAAAGATCAATTGCTCTATGATTTTCGATGTCTGATGATCGTTGTCGGTATTTCTGACTCTATCTTGGTACACGATTTTCTCATTAAATTGTACGTGTCTCGAGTTGATGAATCTGTTCGTCTGTGGATGCCACAGTAGATAGCCAGTTGGTGTGTGCCCGACTAAGTATGTGACTATAGCCTTTTTCGCGAACTTGTTCTCGGCAATTGGAATTTTTACGTAACTCAAACATCCAAATCGTTTGAGCTCTATGATGTGACTCTTTTTATTCTCGTTAAGTCTCGATAAGGGTGTTTTGAACGACGCATTCCGGATTTGCATGGCTGTCGGCGTAATTTATTAAAATTGAAGTGGTCAGTACTTGGCTCGGACACTCACGTGATCTCGCTTGCCTTCCGCCATCTTGGATTCTTGGCTTAGATTTAAGTGTACATTTATACAATGGTTGCATTGCGGATTTGCATGGCTCTTCGGCGTATATGAACAAAATTAAAGGCGGTCAGTACTTGGCTCGGACCATCTCGTGATCCCGTTTGCTCTCCGCAATCTTGGATTCTTGGCTTAGATTAAAAGGAACATTTTTACAATGAATGCATTGCGAATTTGCATTGCTATCGGCGTATATTAACAAAATTGATGGCGGTCAAAACTTGGCTCGGACCGACTCGCGATCCCACTTGCTCTCTGCCCTCTATGAAATTTAGCTAAGATTAAATTGTACATTTATACAATAATTGCATTGCGGATATTCATGGCTGTTGAAGTATATCAACAAAATTGAAGGTGGTCTGTACTTGGCTCGGACCATGTTGCGATCCCGCTTGCTCTCTGCCCTCTATGAAATTTAGCTAAGATTAAATTGTACATTTATACAATAATTGCATTGCGGATATTCATGGCTGTTGAAGTATATCAACAAAATTGAAGGTGGTCTGTACATGGCTCGGACCATCTCGCGATCCCGCTTGCTCTTCGCCATCTTGGATTCTTGGCTTAGATTAAAAAGTAAATTGATACAATGATTGCATTTCGGATCTGCATGGCTGTCGGCGTACATTAACAAAATTGAAGGTGGTCAATACTCGGCTCGGACAACCTCGCGTTCGCGATTGCTCTCTGCCTGTTTTGAAATTTAGCTGAGATTAAAGTGTACATTTATACAATGATTGCATTGCGGTTATTCATGGCTGTCAGCGTACATTAACAAAATTGAATGTGGTCGGTACTCGGCTCGGACCACCTCGCGATCGCGCTTGCTCTCTGCCCTTTTTGAAATTTAGCTGAGATTAAAGTTTACATTTATACAATGATTGCATTGCAAAAATTCATCGTTCTTAGCGTATATCGACAAAATTGAAAGTGGTCAGTACTTGGCTAGGACCACCTCGTGATCCTGCTTGCTCTTCACCATCTTGGATTCTCGGCTAAGATTAAAGTGTACATTGATACAATGATTGCATTTTGCATCTGCATGGCTGTCGGCGTATATTAACAAAATTTAAGGTGGTCAGTACTTGGCTGGGACCACCTCGCAATCCCGCTTGCTCTCCACCATCTTGGATTCTCGGCTAAGATTAAAGTGTACATTTATACAATGATTGCAATTTGAATCTGCATGGCTGTCGGCGTATATCAACAAAATTGAAGGTGGTCAGTACTCGGCTCGGACCACCTCGCGATCCTGCTTGCTCTCTGCCCTTTTTGAAATTTGGCTAAGATTAAAGTGTACATTGATACAATGATTGCATTTCGAATCTGCATGGCTGTTCGCGTATATCAACCAAATTGAAGGTGGTTTGTACTTGGCTCAGACCATCTCGCGATCCCGCTTGCTCTCCACCATCTTGGATTCTTGGCTAAGATTAAAGTGTACATTGATACAATGATTGCATTGCGGTTATTCATGGCTGTTCGCGTATATCAACCAAATTGAAGGTGGTCTGTACTTGGCTCGGACCATCTCGCGATCCCGCTTGCTCTCTGCCCTTTTTGAAATTTGGCTAAAATTAAAGTGTACATTTATACAATGATTGCATTTCGGATCTGCATGTCTGTCGGCGTATATTAACAAAATTAAAGGTGGTCAGTACTTGGCTCGGACCACCTCGCGATCCCGCTTGCTCTCTGCCCTTTTTGAATTTGGCTAAAATTGAAGTGTACATTAATACAGTGATAGCATTTCGGATCTGCATTTCTGTCGGCGTATATCAACCAAATTGAAGGTGGTTTGTACTTGGCTCAGACCATCTCGCGATCCCGCTTGCTCTCTGCCCTTTTTGCAATTTGGCTAAGATTAAAGTGTACATTGATACAATGATTCCATTTTCGATCTGCATGGCTGTCGGCGTTTATTAACAAAATTAAAGTTGGTCGGTACTTGGCTTGGACCACCTCGCGATCCCGCTTGCTCTCTGCCCTTTTTGAAATTTGGCTAAGATTAAAGTGTACATTTATACAATGATTACATTTCGAATCTGCATGGCTGTTCGCGTATATCAAAAAAATTGAAGGTTGTCAGTACTTGGCTCGGACCACCTCGCGTTCGCGCTAACTCTCTGCCTGTTTTGAAATTTAGCTGAGATTAAAGTGTACATTGATACAATGATTGCATTTCGGATCTGCATGGCTGTTCGCGTATATCAACAAAATTGATGGCGGTCGAAACTTGGCCTGGACCGACTAGCGATCCCGCTTGCTGTCTGCCCTCTATGAAATTAAGCTAAGATTAAATTATACATTTGTACAATGATTGCATTGGTGATATTCATGGCTGTTGGAGTATATCAACAAAATTGTAGGCGGTCAGTACTCTGCTCGGACCATCTTGCGATCCCGCTTGCTCTCTGCCCTTTTTGCAATTTGGCTAAGATTAAAGTGTACATTGATACAATGATTCCATTTTCGATCTGCATGGCTGTCGGCGTTTATTAACAAAATTGAAGTTGGTCGGTACTTGGCTTGGACCACCTCGCGATCCCGCTTGCTCTCTGCCCTTTTTGAAATTTGGCTAAGATTAAAGTGTACATTGATACAATGATTGCATTTCGGATCTGCATGGCTGTTCGCGTAGATCAACGAAATTGAAAATGGTCTGTACTTGGCTGGGACTACCTCGCAATCCCGCTTGCTCTCCACCATCTTGGATTCTCGGCTAAGATTAAATTGTACATTTATACAATAATTGCATTGCGGATATTCATGGCCGTT